CCACCATTACCATTTGTTCCTCTCCAATTACCGGAAGCAGTGTTCCTCAACCTGGGGAGCTGGAAGATGTGGGGACTTGGGCTCCCAGAATCCCCCAGCCAGCTATGCTGGCTGGGGAATTCTGGGAGCTGAAGTCCACACATCTTCAAGCTCCCAAGGTTGAGAAACACTGATATGAAGCTTCACTTTTAGGTGTTGTAGGAATCAGAGATACAAGAGGGAGCCACAACTCCATTCCTTCCTTTCAACTCTTAATTGCATTAGAGTTGGATGTCGGATGCTGTGGAGGCTGCGCAGGGAGGGGTCTCCAAAGCATTTCAGAGATACGAGAATCTCCCCTGGGAGAAAGAGTTTGCTATGAACATGCACGAGGATCGCTTCCTTGGCCATAACAGCCTGCATTTTAACTGCTAGCTGCAGGAGGCACATGCTTCTTCCAAAAGGCCCAAAGTGAAGACTGGAACGAGATGCCAGAAGCGTGAATCTTCTTTAGATGCTCCTGCGGGGTCGGCGGGGGGATAATGGGATCCATTCCTGCCAGACCTAAAGGGGTTTCGTTTCTCAAGGACACACACACACACAGGATGGATGGATGGATGGATGGATGGATGGATGGATGGATGGATGGATGGATGGATGGATGGATGGATGGATGGATGGATGGATGGATGGATGGATGGATGGATGGATGGATGGATGGATGGATGGATGGATGGATGGATGGATGGATGGATGGAGTCTTCCGAGAAACTTACTTGCCCGCAGTGGATGAAGACCTCAGATTTTGTTTGTCCCCAGAGATGGGTGGTCCCTGGCCCAATGACAGTAGTCAGCTTGGAATGGCCCTCTGGCCTCCCTGCCCTTCAGAAGCTTTTTCGAGGCGATTCTGCTCGATTGTCGTCTGTGTCTTGGGGAAGGGGGAGTGACTCTATGACATCTCTGCCTGGCACCCCAAAATGTTTTGGGGGACCTTGCCCTGAGACCACCAGGCGATCTTCCACTTCCTTTTCTTGCTGTTAAGCGGGTTGGAGGACCACCCCGGCCTGTTTGGTCTCTCTGCCTGCAAGATGAGAGCTCTGATTGTCCAGCCCTCAAGGGCTGTGATCAGGATCTTTTGCGGGGGGGGGGGTTGCACACTCCCCTCCCTTCTGTTACCCTCCAGTTATTCAGGAGCCCAAAGGGGAGAGGGGTGACTCCCAAGTGTTTGCCGTCCAGGGCTGTTCTGCCGCGGCAGGAACAGCGCAGCGTGAGTGTATCCTCCCAGCCCTTTGCGGATTAAGCTTCTGCTCTCAAATTGGGCACCTGCAGGGACCTTGTGATCTCACCAGAAGACCACAACCCCCAGAATATGTCACAGTAGTTGATCGTGGTTTTCCAGCCTGAAAACCCCATAAGTGCTCTAGGTGAACGCCCTCGTTCTAATGGTAAAGCGTGGTCATGATACCACTTTCTTCCACATTTCGGTGGAATGCGCGTGCAGCCCTCTGGAGGTTGGGGACACCCCAGTGGCCTTTGTGGGCTAGCCACCTCTTCCACTTGGTGGACAGGCTTCCTGATTATCCAGTGCCTTTCCTTGGGGCTTCCTGATTGTTTAACCCTTTTCTTGGTTTGACAGTATGACCTCTAGTGTTCTCCCCACCCCAAATGAATAGCAAAGTAGGTATGTTAATTCTCCAGTAGGCAAGTTAAGTCCCCAACTTTTTGGAGGGGGAGAATCTCCCCAAGAAAATGGAGGGAGGGAAGGAAGGAAGGACAGATGGAAGGACAGAAGGACAGAAGGAAGGACGGACGTCAGCTGCACAAAGCTTACCCATCCTAGTTTATAAGATGGTTTTTCACTAGCCAGGTCATTAGTCTACCCTTTGTCAGCACTGGAGGTGCATTTTAGGTTCCTGATAGGAGCAATTCGCCACTTGTCTTTCTTTCCAAAACAGAGGCTTTTTAAAAACTGAGTTTCTATAAGGTTGCCCCCTTCCCCCTATATCACTCCCCCCATTAAAGTCCCTTGTCTTGTGACATTGCAGTTGAGAGGCCATATCCTCTCTGGTGGGGGCAAATTGTTTTGGGACAGCAGTAGGGGAAGGCTCTTTTCTGCTCCTAATCTGCTTTACGTAAGAAAGAGATGCGAGGGCAAACTTTGCGGGGGCCCAAATGACCAGTGATGGTTCTCCTCTTGCTTTTCAACCTTGAATTTCTTTGCTCTTTGAGTTTTCAGCTTCACAACCTTGGCTAAAATGGGGGGGGGGGG